ATTTTAAGGTTAAGCGTTTTGTAGGTCCAGTGGACGCTTCATGGATGCCATAAAAAAGCGAGTTGACGCAGAGTAAAGTTAGGCGCTATCAAGGTTTTCACTTCGGCATGCGCCATGAACCTTCTTTTCATGTAAGAAGTAAGTTAGGAGAACATTCAGCCGTTGAAAAGGGCAATATTCAGATTGAACGGGTTGTTCAAATTGTGAGATATCCAGCTGTATTGTACTGGCTTATGACTTTCTGGCTTATGGTAGACTTATGGCTTCAGTGTGACCATCTCGCTAAGGAAGTCCAGCCCTGTCATGTTGAAAGCAGATCGTGTGACCAAATATCTCTTTCTTCTCGACGATTTGCGTCTGGTCTAGATTCTGCTCCACGTTTAAGCAGCTGCAGCTGCTTCGTCGAGTTGATGCAGCTTTCTAAGGTTGAGTTTAGGTTAACATTTACACCACATTTCGTCTTCATGGCTATAGCGTCCCTCTTTAGAGCACTGGTGTCGATGAACCTTTGAGGAACGAGGGGCATAGTTTTCCTTACATCTTCTTAATTTTGGCCTCGGTAGCTCTCAAGTTCCAACCAGAGTGGTAGAAGAAAAGTTTGAAGGAGTAGGTGCTGATGGTCCGGAGCAGAATTTTTGATAATTGATTATCTTGTTGGAGAGGGGAATGCTCAATGGGGCAGTCTATGCTGACTGTGGAGGAGACATCGGCGAAATGTACCTTTGATGTGCAGTGAAACCGATAACATGTGCCCTGACTTAGGGTCCCAGACTCTTAGGTCTATTTTTTGATTCACAAGATGAAGTTTTACAAAATAAGCTTTATTTGAGAAAAGAAAACGAGCACAACAATATGAACAGCAATGTACAACCATTAAAATGGATTGGAGATCGAGAGCCGAGAGGACCGCGATAGCTTCTCTAACAATGAGCTACACGGGATCTGGCCCTCATCTTACCCTCTAGAAAGAGGCGAAGCGGCTACAATAACGTTTCAGAGTGACCCTGAATTTGATCCGGCAGTAGTACTAGCAGTAAAGAGAGTGAAGATGATGGCGGTCAGATGTCTAGGTGTCGAACAATTTGCAACTCGCCAAAACAATCAGAAGGCAAAAAAGAGAAAAAAAAACAGCCCGTAAGCAAATATATACAACCTCGCCTCGAAAGACTAAGCAGAAAGTGAAATGAGAATGCAATTGATAAACTGAACTGAACCGAATGAGTAAAGCTTTGAGCAGAGGCGGCGAGACAACGCGAACGGGATCCCCTAATAGATCAGATCACAGCCCTCCGAGCTTTCTTCGCAAGCTTTACCCTTTCTTTTACTTCTGTCTGAATCGTATCTTGAATCGATGCCACATCGTTCTCCGACACAACAGGTAAGATCAGCTGAAAGTAGAAAAATCAATAAATGTTCAGGGTTACTACTGCAAAGGGACTTACAGTTCCTTTGTTGTAGCACTTTTGGTCCTTCTTTATATGACATGTTCCACACGAGTGACGGCAGTTTTCGCTCATGAAACTCTCCGAATTACCAGCACACATTCCTCGGACTTTGAACTCATTGCACATCGGATGGAGATCGTGGCACTCAGCTGTAAATCCTTAGATGTTTAGAAACACTCTGGACATTCGGTCGAGTGAGCTTACCATTCGTAATATTAAAACTTGGCGTGCAAACTCCACAACTGGCTCCGCAGTATACTGCCATGTATTCGGCTTGTTTGCTGCACAGCCCTTGATCCGCCCAAGCGGTGCAAGGATCTGAACGTTAATAGATCGAAAATGTTGGTGAAAGCGAGAGAAATGTGGGTCTAAGAGGATGCTATACATTATAGGATGCTATATAACGCTCATGCTCTCTCTCTCAGTAAGGCGCAAGTGAAGTTGTTGCAAGTCGGGGCCTTATCATCGAATTTAGGGTCAGTTTTCGTCCAGTGCAACAGGCCATATCGTCGCTTTGGAGCTGGATAATCGGTATAATTTGTTTTACGGTAGACCCTGGTAGGCCCTGCTATGGGTACTTGGAAATGTTACTCCGATTCGAATGGAAGTAAAATGCGTGGCGTATTATCTTAAAAATCAATTGATCAACATCTGAGGGTTCATCTTCTGTTCAAGACATCTATTAGAACGTACCTATTGTAGCAGTTTCTGAAAGAGAGGAGCAGCCATCTTGAGTGGCTTTTGCGGTGGTGAATGCTCTTCCGTACCGTCCTCAGATGTGGAGATAAGACCCACTAGGAGAGATGAATTCACGGCTTTCACATTTTTCACAATTTTCGATGACCAAGCACGATTTCCCTGGAATTAATTCCGACGTTCGCTGGCGCTTTTCGAGAACGTAGACCAGTTCATAGAAAAGTGAACTTACTGGAATACAACGTCCCCACCAGCATCTTCCCATATAGCAGGCATCGAAATTCTCAAATCCCATGCAGTTACCGTTCATTTTTACTTTGGCCACACAGTGTGGATAGCTGAAAGAAGTTATTTGATCAGCTGACTCTAAAGGACTCACCTTCAAGGTGCAGTACCCTCTGGTGTCACAGAAAAGGTATGGTGAGCCGCAGCTGGGGTTCTGTAGCGAACATGTGGGTCGAGGTGCATAACGGTACATTTGGTCGGTGTACGAGTTGGATAATCCTGGAAACAGCAAACTTTCTTGGATCTTGAAACGAATTGCAGGCTGAAATAATCTGCTCACCATCTCTGTTTGCCAAGTAGGGGAAAGGACGCATGTAAGCCCAGCTGAAGTGTAATGCGTTGGTGCACCAGCCGTTATCGTCGGAGTAAGCCTGAATAAATTAAGCTAACCTCAGGAACTGAATCAGTCAGGTAAACCTCCTTAATGGGTGAAATTGTTCACATACCACTTCTCTCAACCATCTCGGTTGTTTTAGTTGACGCCACAGCTCCCACAGATAGTCGACAAACGAGTGATGCATGAAGAAGAGCGGCTGGAAATAGGGGAGATCCAATGAAAGGGAACTCGTCGACCTCTTGAGCGTCACTAGTCTCACCTCGTTGGCGGAAGTGCTTGGCGGTTTCATGTCTCCTCCAACCCATAGATGTACGTTTGAGTGGATATACTCGATAGCGCCATAGTTGTTTGGGTAGGGACATCCTGAACCAAATACTACCCCTTAACATTTTTCCTAGTAATACTATTGATTGGACTGATGATCTTAAAGGCAATATTGCACGATAATTTGCTAATCGCTCTAAAATGCTAGGAGGAATGGAATAATGGAAAAATGGCGAAAAAACGAAGTGAACCGGTGAAGAACCTGCGAAGGAAGGCCTTCATTCCTAATGTCTCAAAAATCAATTTTGGACGAGTTCCCCGTAGGCATTTTGCCACTAGCCGTTACGGTAAATACGGCTGCACGTATGTGCTCATACATCCATGCAGCACCGCGGGCGCTTCATGTGTATCCCTTCGCTTCACGTAGCAAATGAAGCAATACGAGCATCAGGTACGGTCGTCCATTTGTGGGCGGGCGGGCGCAGTGGGCGTCCGGGTCGTTATGTTGTAGCTTGATAGGGCCTTATAGGGGGTTCCTTTTTTGTAAGAGAAGCTGCGCAGCGTCTGCTCAGAGGCGAGGAATATCGTCCCGCCAGGCGTATCAATCCCACTCGTTTTGAAGATTTATCGTGCCCACTGAATTTAAGAGTCGTTGATACGGTAATCCATGTTGCAGTCGTAGTAATGTTCCACAGTTGCGCGCCCAATAATTAGCCTGGTAGAATGAATACACAATTACATAGAAAACGGACACGTCCGTCGGTGTCTGTTTCTTCGGCTCAAACGGTGGGTGGGGATAATCGAAGAGTCTGGTGAATAGCTGCCATTTGAGATATTCAAGCTGAAGGCTTTTGCGAGTTAAGTGGGCTTTGGCTTGCGTGATGGAGCTTCGCACATGGTGTTTTTCACTGCCATCGCTCATCCGATTTCCTCCAGGGAGTCTTTATAGAACATCATGTTACAAATTTTGAAATTCGTAAAGGTACTGCAAATCAAATTAACAATAAATTTTCTGTCGACCTGAGCTGGAAAGTGCTGCGTAGCTCTCCCGATTCTTGTTACGTGACCCACTTTGTGTTCCATACCTGTAAAGCCTGGATTGTGATGAAGACTATACCTGGTCATCAACGTCAGTGCACGACGCCTAGGCCTCGAGGATGTCGCGAGTAATGAGCCAAAATTAAAGGCTGAACTCATATTACTGGCCCATGGTTGTGTCCTCTTTGGGAGACCAGAGGGGCGCGAACATACGAATCCGCGTTCAAATTACATTAGGGTAGGAGTTAGGCTTATGGTTAGTGAAGGCTATTTTGCTAACAGAACCTTCTTGTTGATCTGTGTGGTAACGCGGGACGGAGTTATGCATCAGAACTTGGTAGCAACACTCAACGGGTAATATTGATACTACATCAGGGAAGAGTGACAGTGTCTATATATATGGGGAAATTAGCCAAAAAGCGAAGCTAAACACTAAAAACTCTGCGAGGAAAACATTTCCATGCACAGCTGTTCTTGACGAGCAATTTTTGGACGAGTTTCCCGTTGCGCATCGAGACAACGGAACCGCTATTGAATAGTACGGTTGGCACACGTAGTATTCATTAATCCGTGTAGAGCAACGCTTCTTATCAATGTAAATGTATTTCATAAATGAAGCCAGAAAAGCAGCAGCGTCGATGTGGTTTTACGGTCCCTTGTGGGCGGGCGGTTAAGATTGAATGTCTTTGCGATAAGCCACTTGTTCCCCTTCGCCGCTAAAAACGTGCTCTATGGTTGGAAAAAGGCGTCGCACGCCTGCTAGAAAGAGGCGCCAATACTCTCTCGTGCTAGACGTATTGAGCCTGTAAGCCTTGTCGATTTACCATGCCACTTGCCTTGAAATTCTGCCTCCCTGGTCTAAAAATAGATGGCGAGATGCAGAAATGATTGAACTTCTATTCATTCCATAGTGTGCTTTCTTTTTGTTTATAATTCCCAGTTCTGAGCGACACAGCATATGTCCAATAGAGATCTTGCCGGGAAGTCGTGACATTGTGCGGCAGATGGACGATTTATATTTTCAGTTGTCATATATTTATCAACTTCCTTAATAACAATGTAACTAAATATAAAAAAGATAAAGGCGTTACCAGTCCACTGGTCCACGAAAAGGCATGGCTCACGCTAGATTTATCTGTAAATGCTTTCAATTTACACATTGTCATTCCTTTTGTGCTCCACAAAACCACCTTGAATCCGTAACCCGCGGGTCAGGTTTTTCTATTCTAGACGATCGATTCATAAATAGTCGGGACAGGACGCGAGAAAGAGTTTGTTGTTCGTCACGGGTGGATGACCTCGAGATTCAGGTAACAATAGTTTATTCACTTCGCCCGAGGTCATCTAGTACACACAACGGCAATGACGTGAAGCTGGTCGCGTCGCCCAGGTGTAAAATGCCACACTTCAATAGCGGTGATTTAATTGATGGCGCGCGGAATGTTCTTTTGAGGCCGAATTTTCACTTCAGGCGAGATTTGGGTATTGGGGTCAAATATCAGAGGTTTCAAGGTAACTTTGGGTCTGGGGTCCACACGAGTCCCTCAACAAGGAATGCATGTATATTCTTACTTGGAAAGAGCAGAGTTGTACCCCCTAATGCCGCCATCGTTGTGAATGATCAAGAGAGGGGGGGGCGTGTTGACCGCGAGAGGAGTGAGGGGGTGTATTTGGTAGGAAAACTTAATGTTGGTTGATTTCTCCTTGTTTTCACGGAACGTGTATAAGGGGGGGGGAGAGGCTTACTATGGGCGCGTTCGTTGAGAGAGGGACTTACCAAAGATCAAAAATCCTATACAACTACTATATCCCAGTAGGTTTGAAAATGATAGTAAATCCTGACGACCTTTCGCCCCCCCCCGCTCGAGCGGAAAATTCTTTCGTTCTGAAAAACTGGAAATTTTTCGGGAAAATGGGAAAGTGGTAGAAATTTGCGAATATCAGGAAAGTGGGTCGGGATCATGGGGAGGGGGTCGTATTTTGCATGAAAATGATAACAACGCGGGGATGACGTGCCCTGGTCTGTACATAATCATTTTGTCTCGGATGCAGTTACTTTCTAGACTGGATCTACTTTTCTGGTGAATGCAGGAGGGGGCTTTATCTCTCCTGGGCTAAGCTCTCTAAAGCTCGTCTCGCGATTAATTGGCCGCTTAGAAATCATAAGTTAATTTCTTAAGTTGATTTTGCCTCTCACCTGGCACCAAACGTGAGAGGGTTTTTTCTTTAGAAGAATAGTGGATTAGAGACACTTATTCCCTGACGGATTGCGGAAGGGCGATTTTATGCCCATAAGCTTTTCACGTTCACAAACCCATCGCCACGGTTGACCCTGCTTGCTAGTAAGGAAAAAAGGCAAAGCTCCCGCAACTGGGCTTCCTTTAACCACTTCTAGTCCCTTCACAATCTGAGCTCTGACACAACTGATTAGATACACACGGTCATAGGCTGTGAGTGATAAGAAGGAAATTTGTATATGCCAAATAATGGGTAAGAAATCAAGAGAAATGGCTGAAAATAGCCCACCAGGGCATTCTTTTTCCGACCGTTTTGAGCTCTGTAAGAGAGAAGGAGCACTGAGTTTTCGGAAGACAGACCAGATAATGAAGGACGAGAAAGTGCGCAGAGAGTGAAGGCTGCTGTCCTCCTTGCGGCCCTTGACACACTAGGGCCGTGAGTCAAAAGCCACTGTGACCTTGCCCAAGCATTTTCAAAGGGAACGTCTGCGATTGCAGACCTATTTCACCAAGGCACAGCTTCGTGATGTGTGAAATGGTGGTGTCAGTGCGACTCCTAACTCGAAGGAGGGTCTCAGAACGGCCTCTCCCCCCTCATGTGTTTCACACAAAGATGCTGTACCATGTACCCAACATTTCCTGTCCTATCTTGCCCACGGGCTATCTATGTCTAGAAAATCTCACCAGGCATTGGAGCCGTGTAGGCCAACGTGTTCTCGATGGTGTTTTGTGCTACAACGTTGTTGATTTGATTCTCATTCAACAAAGAGCCTTCCCGACCCAGATTCCTGGAAACAATATTTTCACTCAAGCTCAAGCTGTGGACACTATTGGCCTCTAAATGTTTCAAAGTAATGGAGACCTACCTGAGAATTGTTGGACGTCCTTCGAGGGTTCTCCAGTAGGCAAACGGACCTTGGATAACGTTTCCGTAGAAGTCGGTCTCACCCGCGAAAAGGTTTGAGAAAAGGATTGAATCTCTGGGATCGGGTAGATAATTGTCGACGACGCTGTCCCAGTAAGGAATCGATACTGTTGGATCGACCATACGAAGGGCGATTTCAAATCTAAAACCACTAAATAATTTCTAATAGGCATGAAAAACAGTAATAAACTTACCTCTTCAGGTATTCCCTATGCCAAGGCAAGAAACCGGGTCCAGAGTGGGCTCCAGAGCCAACGCCGACCTGCATATTTCATTCTCAAGATTTTTACGGGATAAGAGGTTCATCAAAGGTTGGCGGTAACTCACGTCAAAATGCTGCCTGCTGATTCGGTCGTACTCTCCGTTCATTTTCAGCGTATACAGTGCTCGATGCCAACGATTTCGTTCATCGTCTGTCATCATACGATATTCTTTACGATATGCCATCGTTAGAACAGCTCCGTTTGACAGCACACAATTACCGCCTTGCATTCGTCCCTGAAAGTCGAGAGAAGGGTCTTTATGAAGGCTATTCCGACGGTCACAATCGCTGAACTCACCGCGAAGAACGGGCAGAGACAAGAGAGTGTCATACAGTCATAAGGGTGGTAAGCGACTTGACCACGAGAGTTTGGTGGCACAGGAATCGGTGTCAGCCATTCTGGTACTGCTGGTCGCGGTGGTCCCACTGGCTGTGGACGTTGTTGTGGACCACCTCCTCCACCTCTTCGTTGTGCAGGTGGACGATTCCTTAACGCTTGTCTGGCGATTCGTCTTCTTGTCAGTTGATCCATAGTTCTCAGCTGAATGACTGATTGTAGCTGGAATTTCTCTTTCTATTGAATAATTTTCAACCCGATAGGTTCTGGCGTGGAACACATGGTGTGACCGATGACGATGTTTTCCCAAGCCACCGTCAAACAAGCGAACATCAAACGAGATTTACGTCAACAAACGGTCAAACATTTGGTAATATTTTCGGACACAACTTACCATACGGCATGTTTGCCTAATGTCTCTGTTAGGAGCGTCAGAACAATCTCGAGGTGGCTCCTTGGTGGCGTTTCTTGCTGCTTTGGCTAGCACCAATACGAACAGTAAAAGCGCCAAAAAATAGCGCATTGCTGAAAAATAGACCTGAAGTTTGATATTTGACTCAAAATGCCCAAGGGCGGTATTTATAGACGAAACGACGACGTGAAATGCAGCACTGATGAGCTGTTCAAAGAGAGGAAATCGTTACTCATAATGTGATGACAAGTTGAAGAGGTGGCATTGGTATTGTGTTGGCATTTCTAAAGGAGAACAAGAAAAACTTGGGAAAAACATTGCCTGAGGCGTTTCTGGTATCATCGCCACTCTCACTTCCATTGGGAATTTCTCGAGAGTGTCCCATGAAACGGGTTTGTCGCTGTTGCATCAGCCACGACCACGGCAGAAACATGGTCGGGTCGTTCAGGGGTGCCACTTCGTCTAGCGCCCTCGTCAGCGAACATGGTACTTTGTAACGCTTATCTTTAGACTAAGATAAATCACCAACCCAATTACGGTAATAGTGATGGAACTCAGGGCTAAATGTTGCCTGTGAGGCAGGCGATTGGATAGAATTCAAGACTTAGGTGACACATGAGGCGCTCGGAGGAATTTTGCAGAATGAACCCTCTCATCAGTAGCTTGCCATAGAAACCTTTCGTCATATATACCACCCCCTCTTTCCTAGCAACGAAATACAATTCCCTCGCTTGCGGATTCCTCAACATAGGGCGTTTTCCTCTTCAAACAGGTATCATCTGTAATAGAATCACAAATGATATCTACTTGAAGAGGAAACAGAAGGCAAGAGGTCTCCGGTAGGCCAAGAAAGAAAAATTTTACAATAATAGAAAGGCAGGTAGACGTGAAGTGATGCAGAGACTGGGCAGCGAAATGTGTAAGTGAATACTGCGACGACCTCCCACCTGAAAGGAATAGCCGTCAGGGTTAGTGGAACCCCATTCGTCTGACTGTATATCGGCATTTATACAAAACATCGACAAGAATTTTCGGTTTTCCACGTTGACAATGGAGTTTCTCAAGTAAATCGAAAAAGGTTGGGAAATGCATGTTAGTAACGAACAAATGACTATTAATTACGAAGTAGCTTCGTCGAATAGACAAGAAGAAGAAGAACAAGACCAATGTCCCGCGGAGGTCATAACATGCTGTCGGTCTCTGGTATGACACTCCGTTGCCATCTTATGCAGTCTGTAATGCATTAAGAAGTTCAGGTAAGAGAAGAATGCTAGTTGTGATCGTTGACGAGCATGAGACAGGTAGCTGGGCTTTTATAGGGGACGTTTCGAGAGGTCGAAGGTGGTGTCGCCGGTCGAGAGGCGGGGTCATGAAGGCGGCGCCTGCCCTACACATAGACGCACAACTTAGAAACAGTCACGTATCAGCATCACATTTGACATTTTCCATTCAGCTTCAAACTTATCAAATTTTGACAGGTGTGTGGAGATGTCGACCGACGATAGCGCTCAGTGTCCAGACCTTTTTTCCGAGTGTTCCGAACAATTCAAGGACGCCACCATCGACACAGAAGTCGTTTTAGATGTTCCCCGAGCCATCTGTCTAAATGTGGGCTTGTGAAAAATTGATAAGTGGGCTAGGAATCCTGAAGTTGACCGTCTTTAGGGATTAAAACATCGAAAAAGTCAAGACAAAAACAGTCAACGGCGCTCCCATGAAGTCACCTGTCCACCGAAAGTTGTTACTTTGAAGACTGTGCTTCCTTCGTTCCGGTTACTTCACATTTTCAATCATTCTCATTGTCCATTTCTTTTTTAGGACTCAATTTAAAGACAATAGTGTTTTTATTAGGGTCACAGAGACCCGTAAAGATCCACAACAAAAGGCAGACTGTTTCGAGTAACCGCATCCAACTGAGTGCTGAAACTTGTGTTCTGGGGAGGCCTACGATAAAGAATTAGGGATGGGTTTTTCCAAACCTAAGGATCTTTGCTTTTTTACTTAATACTTTCTCCTTCATCTTCTCGTACTGCTCACCTTGCCACTTTCGCTACCACTGCCTCCTCCTCCTCCACTTTTCCATTATGACCGTCGGGTCTCCGTCAACCGGAATCCTAACCTAGGCCTTGCCGTGGGGAAGGCACCAGCTCTGCTTTCTTGCAGTATTTTTCCCGAAGTCACTAATTCTTACAGAGCATGCTATTGGCTCGGGAGGGATCGAATTTGGGAGTCTCCAAGTGCACCTCACACACAGGCAGGGTTGTTGTTAGTTCGAGGTCAATGAGGTTCAAATAGAAAAAAAACCAGAAAAGTAATCCCCCAAAGTCACTAATTCATCTATACAGTTTCAAGAGTTTATCGAGTGCATGGTGTAATCTGGAGAGTTTGAAAAACATCGTCACTTTAATTTTCGGCTGGCAGATTGTGTCAAGTCGGCAGATGCAAGACATGTCTAATTGGAATACGTTTCACCCACTCAGATGAATTTAGGGGGCTCAGTTGGACTTCCTCAATCTCCCTCATGCAGCGGCTCAGCTCATAAATAGAAACAAGTGAAAGCGGTTGTTATAATCACGGATCTCTCCCTGTTTTTGGGAAACGTCGAACCGGCCGACTGCAATCCCATTAGACCCGCCTCCTTGAGGCCGACAGACTATGACCAGTTCAGGGCTAAGGGCTTCAATCTAATTGTTTGTGCCCTAGGTTATACTCGCAGTCTTGGCCATGTTAAACCACTGTTTTGCTAGAGTTTCCCTTTATTTCCTAGCTTCTGCAAGCTTAGGTACATCTATCGCTTGAAACTTATGGTTATTGCCCGTGCATAGTGCTATGCGCAGAATAATATCTAGTCCTCTTTGTAGCCCTTCACTACTTTACTTTATAAGGCGTAAGGTATTTTGTGTAATCGCATTCACAAAATTACTCACATTTGGCTTCAATATTTTGCACCGGAACTTTGAAATATAACCCATTAATAATCGCTCGAATTATTTACTGAATCCCTTACCGACCCAATCGTTAGGTTCACAGTTTTGTCTTTTTTTGCGACAATATATTTTTTTTCAATATTAGAAATTACTAATGAAACATTTTTATTTTATTCACTCCGTATATCAACGAATTCCTTCAAATTTATTCGTGATAAATTTTTATTCCCTCAACGGTGGAGGGTGGAGGGAGGGGGGTTACGGAAGTCGTCTTAGAGAGGAAATTCTGACGCCTGCAACCTTAAACGTCCACTAGAGGCTCGTCGCGCAAAGTTGAGATTACCTTCATCCGAGTGGAATTATCATAATTAATTATGTATTTGAGACTGATTTACCCACCGCGGAGCCCCTTTCCCATTCAGTCTCGGGTCAAAACTCAATACCCATTACGCAAGCATACTAACGCACAACGAGTCCTCTGAATGGTCCTTCCAAAGTTACTAGCCAGCAAATTTTCTCTTTCACCATGACCTACCCTATACTTGTCTTTTTCCAATTGTTCCAAGCTGTTTTTGACTTGCTCTTTACAACTCAATACAAACGGAGATAAGAGGATCGCCTAGTAGAAAATGAAGAAAGGCTATGGTGTGCGCCATGCACCGAACTCTCCTCTAATATCAAAAAGTGTTCGGGTACCTTCGGAGTACTTCTCTAGCTTATAATGGCCCACTTATATTTGAGACATGGCTCTTGCAGCATTAGGTTTCGAACGATTGACCTGCTGGTCGAGACATAAATCTTATAATTGAAACGTATAATTGAAGAAGTGTCACCTTATGTAAGACCCGATTTCCCTTTTAGAATTCCAGTACTGATCTTTCCCTGGTAAATAGCAATAAACTAATCAGAGGGTAGCTAATAGTTCGTCACAAGGTGTCGACACACACTCGGCCAATTCGAAGATTGATTTCACGATCATCTATTAAATTGCCTCTTTCTCTTTCGCAGAACTTTTTCCAGGAAATTTTTGCAAACAGTGTGGCCATGTGGTTTACCCACAAATTACTTTCTGAACTGTTCTGATCGGTGTCCTTGATTTTTTGGCCATGATTGCGTTTCCTTTGCCAAAAATGCATCAAAATTACTTGTTTGATTGGAAATGCCTCTCTCCTTATCGGATTTTGCCATGGTAGCCATGGCGACCAGAAACAGTTTTTTATATTGTCTTTTCACGCTTAATTCTTTATTCTAACCATAGGTGTGTAAGGGGGAGGTAAATTAAAGTGGAATAGGTATGTGAAACGATGGTTTACTAGTCTTGCAAGAGAATCTTCCAGCAGAACTATCTACTGGAAGTACTTCGTCCTACTAAAACTGTTCCAAGAAGGGAGACAAACCGGATAAGAAAGAATGGAGCACACAAAGCTGGGCACGTCCTGGCGTTTGGAAGAATTTTTCTACCTGATAGATCTTCTTAACAAAATTCTTAATGTATGTAGGAAAAATATAGTGCGCACAAAAAGCCAAAACTAACAATCAAACAAATTCCTAAGGACGATCATGTCCTCGCCCCTCTCTTCTAACGACCTAATACGACCCTCGATGGGAACTTCCCAGACGCGCTCCGGTTCAAAGGTTACGAAATCCTTTTTTTTGCAGACATAGGTTGGTGGTTCGTCCACGCTTGAACTTCTTAGGCAGTACTCTTTATCGCCATTACATACATCCCAGGCAGGAGTCTCTTTAGATGCTTCTCTATTTCTATTAGCCTATTGGCTCCGAAAAATGTTTGGCGTAGTTAGGCTCGGTGGGTACACCAAATGGTGCGCAGCGAAGCCCTGACAAAGTGTGCCCCACCCCTTCCCCCTGAGCCGTAGAGCGCCAGTAGTTCTACTGGCTAGTAGGAGACATAAGATAAACCATCAAAGACGAGCAATGAAATATTAACGCGAGAGAAGTAAAAGTAACATATTAGGTGTCAAAGTGAAGAAAAATTCCAGCAGGAGGTGGGTACCTTATTCCAACGGTAAATAAGAAAGTGAAATGATGTGCATTAAGAATAAAATCAATAGAATTGAGCAACGAATCGATTCGATGTTCTGTCAGCCACAGTTCATTCACCAAAAAAGGTAGTTGAAACTACTCCATTGACGAGCTCCCGAGAGTAAGTAAAAAGGGATAATT